CCCCCCCCCGCCGGCCGCCCCCCCCCCCCCCCCCCCCCCCAAAACGGTTGACTGCTCCCATCAGCTGCTTGGTCTGTCTGGAGGATAGAGCCAAGGTCTGCCCAGCGAGAGGGGAGGGGTCAGGAGATCCGGCAGGGAATGCTCCCTTAGAGAACAAGTATTGGAAACCCTAGAGGAGCAGGTGGGGGCTGGGGTGTCTCTCTTTCTGGTTCCGCTGCCAGCAGTGAGCAGCTAGTACTGGAGAGAGAGATGAAGGTCCCAGAGGGACAATAGGCCTCCAAAACCTCGCTCCTCTTTTGCATGGGAGCTGCTTGGAACCTGGGGGGCCAGCGTGTGCATTAGCCTAGACTCCATGGCCTTTGTGAGTAGCTAGAGTTCTCTGTGTACTGCCTGGCCTTGCTCTCTCCTTCAAGCTGTTGATCTCTTGCCATCAGTTAGATGATGTTTGGAAAAGATATTTAGTGAGAATTTACAGTCACAAATGAACTTGGATTCGTATATAAAGATTATTTTTATACCTTTTGCAGCAAAAGAAAATTGCCTGTAATATTTGTACAGTGTTCTCGGAGTGAATAAACTGAACCTTTCAGAGCCGCCTGTCAGCACTTGAGCACCACCAAGCGTCGTCCAGTTGGCCATTTCTGCATTCGCCGCCCTCTGGGTGCTGCAGCGGGGTGCTGGGCTTGGCGGCCCGCAGGCCTCGAGACGGGATGCCCTCACTTCCAGGGGGCTCCTGGACCTGCTGCTGTTCACCAGCTGTGGCCGGTCTATAGTTGGGGTTAGTGTGAGCATTTTAGAGTTGTCAGTTTGTGTGTGGGGACATATCCACTGCTCGGACCAAGAAGTGAGGAAATCCTGGGCTGGGGCCTGTGTCCCTGGAGCTCTAACCATTAGGGACAGAGGCCAGCAGGGCCATCTCCTGCGCATGTGCTGTGCCCCGCATACCCGTGCGGAGGTGCAGTCTGCTCTGTGCCTGGCCGTGATGGCAGGGGGGAGGGGGCTCGAAAACATTCGGTTTAAGAGCAGCTTATCTGGGTTTAGCGTCTCCTGGCTCTTAACCAGTTGAAGCCAGAGCTCACTGGCCTGCTTTATGCTGAAGAGCCGTGTGCAGGTAACTAACTGGGTATGAATCCGCCCTCCCTTCCGAGCTGAGAGCAGACCTTGGTCCTGGGCCCCGGGGAACCTGTTTCCCCCTTCCCCGACTAGGGCTGAGCGCTGGGCAGCGGGAGCAGGCAGCAACTGGCATGCACAGGTGGCCATGAAAAAAGGGGATCCTGACTTAGAACTAGTCCTGCTGCCATAGGGGGCTGGGGCAAGTCCCTCCCCCCTGCCATGGCCTTTCCCGGGGGGGGGGAGGGAGGGAGGACTGAGCCACAGACCAGCCCATGACGGAGCCAGGGTTTGGCCTAAGTGCTAGGTGGGGCTAAGTGCCCCGGGATGCATGGAGATCTGCATCTGAAGAAGTGGGTTTTTTACCCACAAAAGCTTATGCCCAAATAAATCTGTTTAGTCTGCAAGGTGCCACCAGACTCCTCATTGTTTTTAAGAAACAGCTGGACAGTCAGAGGCATTTGTGTACACGTCCGTGTCGGCAAGATGGGGATTACTTACAGAAATGAGGATTTTTAATAAATTTTGAATTCCGGGGGAAAGGGAGGGAATCACATTACGAGAATCCAGAACAGTATTAGAGGACTCTATGACCATATTGGATATATGGATTCCTTGGGCGAGGTAACAGCAGAAGTACGAAAGCTAGTGCAGCCTACAGGCTCAGAAACAAAAGGGCAAAGTAAAAGAACCCAAAACGTATTTATTTCATTTAATTACTTTCAGGTGCACAGCTCCTGAGACTTGCAGTCTTGTGGTTACTCTATCATGGGGTTGTATATCTACAGTAGAAATTTGCCATTGAGAAGCATGTCATATAAGATAATATAGGGGCCTTTAGTCAGGGCTGGCTCTACCATTTTTGCTGCCCCGAGCAAAAACAAAAAATGCCGCGTGGACTGTGCCACCCCAAGAATGGACAGAATGCCGCCCCTTAGCATGTGCCGCCCCAGGTCTGTGCTTCCTCCACTGGTGCCTGGAGCCGGCCCTGCTTTAGTGATTATTTGAGAACCGAGGTTTGCACACAAGTGAGGATGTGAAAAAGCAGGAGGTGCTGCTGGAGGGAAAGGTAACATTGGTGGATCAAAGGAAAGCGAAGAAGTTTTGAGAGGAACAGCAGCACTCAGTCTGCCTTAAAGTCACATGATCTCAAAGAATAAACTTTAGTATTGAAAAACACAAACAAAAATGTAGTATTAAAAACGAACATTGCCCTACGCATAGGAAGGGCTGGACTAACCCCAGTGAGCTGTGACTGCTGGAGCTACCGGCACGACAATGCCTTGTCTCGGACCATCTTCTGCGAGAGACACCGCTGAGCCCCAGGGCTGAGACAGGTGCTCGGAGGGTCCCGGCTCCAGGCGAAGGGGGTCAGTTTAGTACAGATGCTAAGGCCCGGCTTCAAGGCAGGGTGGGGGCCTGTTAACACCCTGCAGTCAGGACCCAAAGGGGATTAGCAGATTGGGACAAGCCAGGGATCCGGTCTGTGTCCCGGCCAGGCGGGTTAGTGTCTAGCAGAGATCGGTGGCGAGTTAACACGTGCACTGATGGGGGTTGAGCTCTGCCCGGGCTAAGGCAGGGCAATGGGGACGTGCTCGGAATAAGGCGGGACCCCCTGGCCGGGGGCTGCAGGGAGCCGGGCCTGGCCGGGGGGTGCGAAGGGCTCCAGGGACTCCCGCCTCCGCCGTGTCCAGGCGCGGGGCGGCCCGGTGCCTCCTGCGGGGGGGCCCCGCCCCCCAACGCCGGTTCCTGCCCCCGGCTCGGCCCCCGCCCCCGCCCCCGCAGGAGGCGCGGCCGGGTTCGGCTCCCCGGGTCTCTCCCCCGCCGAGCGGCTCCTGCCCCGCCTCGGCCCGCCCCGAGGGCGGAGACCCGCGGCCCCGACCCGGAACTGCAGGCGGCGGCGGCTCCGCGGGGTGCCCGGGCCGGTGAGTGCGGTGGGGCGGCCCCAGAGCCCTGCCCCGGGGGCCCGTGGGGGCGGGCCCCCCAGGGGTGGCCGATGAAGGCGGGGGTGGGCCGGGTGCTAGGTCCCAGGGGTGCGGGTGGGCCGGGTGCTAGGGCCTGGGGGTGGGCCGGGTGCTAGGTCCCAGGGGTGCGGGTGGGCCGGGTGCTAGGGCCCCAGGGGTAGGGGTAGGGGTAGGGGTGGGTGGCCCTTGGCATCGGGCACACCAGCTGTTCCTTCCCTCCAGCTCCCTGCTCCATGGCGGGTCCCGGTGTCCCCTCCGCTCCTCTCCCTTTCGGGGTTGGTGGGTGTAGCTGAGCTGGCAGCCCGAGGCTCGGTTATCCTGCCTGGCGCTGCCCGGCCCAGGGCACACATGCTCTGGCAGGTTCAGCCTGGCTCTGTGCCAGCCCCACGCGCCCAGCCAGGTGTTGGAACTAGCTGGGCCTGTCAGCCCCATGACCCGTTCCCGTGCTGCCCTTTCCCTGCCCGCTGTGGCCCTGCTCTGCATTGCAAACATACCAGTTACTCAGCCAGAGCCGGACTCAGCTCATCAACTCATTCCAAAAGGCCGACAGGCGAGCTGCCGAGAGAGTCTGGCCCCACCAGACGTTCGCAGGAGAGCAAACCAACCTGCCGCATCCAGCGTGGTCAGAGGACGACAATGGGCACGTTGAGGCCACGCGGTCAGGATAATGCAGCCACCACCTGGGAAGAGAGAACGCGGGCGACCTAGAGAAACATTACACACAACGCTGCAGAAAAGAAGCCACATCCATCAACCATCCGCTCGGAAGCCTGGACACGCCAGCACGAGACCAAAACGCATGGCGAATGCCGGCGGACGCTCCGGGGGCGTGGGGGGATTAAAAACCCCCTAACTCTAGCCCTCTCCTCAGGCTGGCTGCTCGGCCTCCGCCGGCTTGTGCTCAGTCGATTTCAATACCGCTGGTAGGAAACGAAGGGTATGTCTACACAGGGATAAAGCACCTGTTGCTGGCCCCAGGTCAGCTGTGTAGATGCTTCAGCTGGCGCTCTGGGACCCTGCGAGGGTGGAGGGCAAAGCCGCCGCTAGGAATAAGCAGACTAAGCAATTGCTTAGGGCCCCGAGCAGCTCCAGGGGGCCCCCATTTGCTTTTCAAATACGTGTTAGGGGGGAAAAATATTCCTGCTTAGGGCCTGCAATGGGCTGGCCTGAGCCCGAACCACTACACAGCCAATTTTAGCTCCACCTCCTGAGCCTTGCGAGCCTGGGCCAGCTGTGGCCGAGCTGTGGGACTTTTCGCTCTGTGTAGACCTACGCTAGCAGGCTCTTTGCTGGAGAGGATTTTACTATCTGGTCAAACGCCACCAAAACCCCACGTATCGAATCCAGCGAGCGGCGGTTCGCAGTGCGATGACGAGCAGCGGGGCTTTGCCGAGCCGGGTTTGACAGTCATTGTGGGTTCCTACTTGGCTGTCGCTCTTCCTTTTTTTCCTTCCTGGCTGCCCTCCGCTTTTTCTTTCTCTTTCCTGAAATAGCCTGGGGTCTCTCTTCTTGCAGTCTTCAGCGCCAGCTTCCTCTTTTCTCTTTCTCGGCCTCTCCCCTTCCCACTCGGTTCGCTCCCTACCTTCCAGGTATTTTCCCTCTCCCTCTCACCCCCCTCTCAAATCCTACCAGCTCCAGAGCCCTGCTGAGCAGATGACGAACTCTGCTAGCTGCAGGGTGATGGCACAGCTGCGGGGGAGCACTGATCGGGGCAATTCTCTGCCCTCTCTCTGGCTGCTGCTTTACCCCTTCTCCAGCCTTTATTTTTGAGTTCCCTGCCGCTGCCAGTAGGTTTTGGGGCCTTCTTCCCAAGTGGCCTCTGAATGAAACTGACCGGCTGCTTGAGGGTCAGTTTCTACTTGGCTGCAGCTTGTGGACTCTCTGCAGCCACTGCTGAGGCGGGGAGACGGAGAGCACGTTGACACTACTGAGCTGATGCCGAAAATGGCCCCCTAGACGTGGCATACGTCCATGGAAGGGGTTTTTCTGCCTGCGCAGTGATTTGCCTCCCCGAACGACGGTAGCAATGCCGACAGAAGCGCTCTTCTCCTGCGTGATCAAACGCAGGCTTGGATTGTGCAGGAGGTGACGGGACTTGGCCGAGAGAGCGTTCTCCTCACCCTGGCTGAGTGGGGTTTTCAGGCTGTGCCCCCGGCCGTAGCACCTGATGGCCCTTAGCGTCGGCTTCTGCGTGTTGCCCCGTGTGCTGACGGCTCACGGCTGCTCCCAGCTGACCGGGATCCCACTGGTCTCTGGCCCGGTGTGGGGGGCCTCTGGAGGACTGTAATTCTGTGCTGCATTCATTAAGCCCTTGTTCATCTTCACCCTGCCCATGTGCATTCCCAGCGGTGGGCATGGTGCCACCTGGCACACTCGAGGGCGTGCCAGTCCCACGAGCGTGATGCAGGCAGGTGACTTCTGAGCGGTCATTGCGACTGAGTGCCCCCCCTTTCTCTTTCAGGAGTTGCTGTGTGGGGCGGGGAAGGTTCCGAGCAGGAGCCGGAGAACCGGGACCATGCCGCCCCCCAAAGACGTGGTGAAAATCGCCATTCAGATGATGGGAGCCATCCCACAGCTCATTGAACTCAACCAGGTAACGTCCTGCCTCCTGGAAGGCCCAGCTGGCGTGGGGGGGGTTCCTGCTACTGGAGGGGCTGGCAGGGCAGGGATGTGTCTCGTGCTGTGTACTCGGGTGCCGTGCCAGGGGGCGATGCCCGGGCCACGCTCCCCACATGCTGTTTCTCTTTGTTTTCAGACCAAGCCCCTGGCTGCGGTTGTGAAGGAGGTTTGTGACGTGTGAGTAACTCTTCTGTCTGCTCTCTAGCCTTGGCAGTTTGGGGGCCTCTGTCCTAGGCTGTGGTAAAAGCCGTCTGGGCAGCTGTGGGGAGTCCATGGCCCTCCACCTGCCCTGGGGGGGGAACCGGGGTGTCCGAGAGCAGCCCCTGGCCCGTGTCCCTGCCCCCCAGGGTGTGCCGCCAGAGCAGATGGAGAGTCCAGGGTTCCCCACGGTGGCCCAGGCTCTCTGGGCAGCTCTGACCCCAGCCCCAGTTTCTGGCCAGCCCAGGGGGGTGGAGCCTTGGGGGAAGGGGAGGAGCAGGGGGCAGGGTCCTGTGGCAGGGGTAGTGGTGTGGAGAGCCCCAATAAATCTTAATCCGCCTCTGTTGGCAGACCATCTCTGAGAATGAGCAGGCCCTTTGGGGGATGTCTCGCCCCTCCCCCAGCTCTTTGGCTGGCCCCTCTGCTCCCCACCCCGGCGCAGCCGTGTGGCACGCCGGGCAGTCGGCAGGCGATGAGCGTGGGCGGAAGGGGGAGACCTGACTCTCTCTCCCGCTGCAGGTGGAACCTGGGCAACGCCGAGCACTACGCCCTGCAGTACGTGGACGGGCAGCAGACGTACATCACCGAGTCGGTGAGTGGCCGGCAGCACGTGAGGCTCTTGCTGGCTCCTGGAGCCTGTTGGCCGGTTCTGACCTACAGATTCTTCATCCCGTTTCCTTGTCTGTCTCGTTGTAGAACCGCGCGGAGATTAAGAATGGGAGCATTCTGCGGCTGACCACTTCTCCGGTACGTCCCACCTGTATCCTCCTCCCCTCTTTGTGACTGGAGAGTCAGCTAGACACAGATCCTGCTGCTGACTCACTGTCAATCCCCTGTGCCTCGGTTTCCCCAGCAGTAACGTGGGGATAAGGATACTGACCTATCTCAGTACAATTCCAGGGGAATTTGAGGTTTGACTAGTGTGTGTGTAAAGTGCTTGGAGATCCCTGGTGCCAAGCAATATTGCTATTGCTCAGGTCTGGCTTCCCGCTTCAGCTCCCGCCATGGGACGGCTCTGGCCTGACCCCTCTTCACCCAGTCTCTCCCTATGGGATTGTCCCGGCCCAATTTCCCCCCTCACCCTGTTGGGATTCCCAATCCCTGATGTCCCCTCTCATGCCGACTCCTTCCTGGCTGGCAGGATCAGGAGGCAGAGCGGCTGCACAATGGGATCCGGAGTCACAACCTGGACGTGAAGGCAGACTCCCTGAAGAAGCTGGCGAACCTCTCCCGAGACATCACCTTTGCCCAGGAGTTCATCAATAGGAACGGCCTGAAACAGCTCTTCCTTATTGTGGAAGAGGGGAACGAGTGAGTGAGTCGCTCCTCTTTGCCCCTCCCCGCATCCGATGAGTTCCCCTCTCTGCCCCCACGTACACACGTGCCTGGCTTGTCCTTTCCCCTGCCCCCTCCCCGGCGAGGCTGTGCAGCCAGGGGAGGTAGGACGCGCTCTGCATGCATTGCACACACCGTTGTGCTCTGGAAGTCTAGAGGACAGGGATGGAAAGGCCTCCGCCTGGGGCCCTGGCAAGGCAGGACTTGCCCCTTGTAGGTTTGTCCATCCCAGATGTTCCATCCCTCCCCTGGGGAGACTGGATCTCACTGCCAGGAAATCTCCTGAGGATCAGCCTGTGTTGTTCCGCGCCCCATTGCTGTAGTCACTGCCTCCCACGTGTACCCCCCCAACTGATCCCTCGCCCTCCTTCAGTGTGACCCCCCTGGATATTCGCTGTGTCCCTCTCCATCATCGCTTGGCCAGGCCAGACGGACGTAGCTCTTTGGCTTCTTCCTCGGTCTTGGCTTTTCTTTCAGCACGTGTTAGTTTTCCCCGGGGTCCCGCCGGGCAGCCTGCACTTTCCTGGCTCCGGGGCGCGTGGAACACCGTGTGTTGTGTTGTCTGGCAGCGTTGCATGTGCGTGTCGTTAGACTCCATTGTAGAGCATATGCCTGAGGCAGCAGAATTCAGGTGTTCCCCTGGTTTTCCTTGACGCTTGTATGCTTAACTGTGCAACTGTAACGTCCTGTGTCCTCCTTGGCGCTTTCCGGGTCTCCACACTCCTCCTTGGGCTAAGCGAGAGGCTGATTTCTTGTACCGAGTGTTCTCCCTCCATTGCTCATCTCCTGTCTCTTTCTCTCGCCCTCTCCCTGTTTTCTGTCTCTCTAGGTGTTTCTAATGTGCCCATCGCTGTGGTGTCTGGGTGGCTTTGTCCTTGCTGCCCTGGCCTATTGAGCGGCGTTTCTGTGGGGTTCCTGGGTCCCCTCTCACCATGTTTGCTGTTCTGTTGCTCCAGTACAGGGGAGATTCTAGCTCACACCCTGAAGGCATTCATGGAGCTGATGGAGCACGATTTTGTCTCCTGGGAGACGCTGAGTCCGGCCTTCATCAAAAAAGTAGGTGCCTCCCCGGAGCCTTTGCGCCCCCCGCCGTGCTGTGGCGGCTGAGCTAGGCATGTCTCTGACCTCCCGTTGTTACAGATAGTGAGGTACGTCAACACGGGTGGGATGGACACCTCCATCCAGCAGCTCTCCCTGTCCATCCTGGAGAACATGGTCCCGAGCAGCCGCCACCTCTTTGAGCTGGTCAAACGTGAAGTGACCCTGGATCGCCTCCTCACCCACCTGCAGGTGTAAGTACAGCCACAGGCGCCGACTTTCAGCGTTCCCTGAGGGTGCTTCGGCCCCGCCCCCTCCCCTGAGGCTCCACCCCTGCCCCGCCTCTTCCCAGCCCCGCTCCTCCCCTTCCCCCCAGCGCCTCCTACCTGCCACCGAACAGCTGATTGGCAGTGGGCGGGAAGTGCTGGGTGGAGGGGGAGGAGCTAATGGGTGGGGCCTGCCGAACAGCTGATCGGTGGGTGGCTGCTGATCACCCTTTTTCTTTTTCTCGTGGGTGCTCCAGCCCCGCAGCACCCATGGAGTTGGCGCCTATGAGTACAGCGCAAGCCATGATCCCATCCTGCCTCTGCCGGCCTCCATTTCCTCGGCCTGCCCCACTTCCCTGGGGAGAGCAATCCGCAGCCTCCTCCAGTTCCCTGCTCCTCCACCTTCCTTTTCCACTATGATTTCAGCCCGTCACGCTTGGCTATGGTGGGGACTCGCCCCTCGGATGTTTGCTGTCCCCGCGTCCCGGCTTAGCTCCGTGTAGCTCTTTATCTCCGTCCGCCTGGCTCGCTCCATGTTGCCTCCCAAGTTATGTTGCTTCTCCAGGCTTCCCATCTAGCTCCGGCTGGGAATGAGCTCCCCGGTAACCCCCAGCATGCCGGCTGTGCGTGCTCTGTAGCCATTTAGAGACAGGCCTGTTCGCCCCTCTGCTCCTTTGCTGGGTCCCTCAGCATTGCTGCTCTCCCGCTGAATCTCTGGCGCCAGTAACACTCTCAGCATTGGGGTGCTGTTGGAACCGCACCCCTGGCCGATCTGGGGGGGAATCTGAGCTGGCGGAGCCGTGTGCCGGCTCTGAAATGAGCCGCGGCCTCTAGGCAGTTACAGCCCCGCAGGAGAGCAGAGTCTGGGGGTCCCAGCGGCCCCTGATCTGGTCCTGACTTGTTCTCACTCTTGGTCTGGCCGGGTCTGTAGCGAACACTCTCTGGTTTCTCCTTTTCTCCGGTCCTGCCCCGGCCAGCCCGACTCCATGTGGCTTTGGGAACACTGGGTGCATGGCATCGCCTCTCCTGCCCCCTGGTGAGCCCGGCCAGGGCTCAGCTCCGCCAGCCTCCCCCGACACGGGCTGGGGGGGCAGGCCTGGCACACGTGACCGCTCCTCGCCCTGCTGTCCCTCGCTGGTTCTGGAACAGCCCCCGTCCGCCTGGCTGGGCGGCAGGAAGTTCATGCCCTAGCGTCTGGGTGGGAGAGAGCTCCCCCTCCTACCTGGGTTTAAATCCCTCCTGATAAGCCCTGCCAGCATGGAGCAGGCGCTCGGCGCTCGTCTGCTGACGCACAGCCTGTCAAATGCAGGCGTTCGCCTCGCCCTGCCCGCCCCAGGCCCTCTTCTCTCTGCACTGTCGGCTGGGTCATGGGCCCAGCAGGGCTCTGCCTTGGCCTTCCTCACCCCAGGTCTCTCTCCAGGCCCTTGAATGCCCGTCAATATCTTTGTGCCCACTCTCTGCAGGGAGCCCGCTGCCCTTACGTGCCCACCTGTGCCCTGGCACCGGGCGCCAACGGAACATCCCCTGATCTGTACCTGGCTCACAGATGCCTCCAGCCGGCTTCCCCACTGGGAGCTGAGAGCTGTGTGCAGCCTGGTGGTGTGGGGCCGGTGGGGACAGCTGGGCTGGGAGAAGAGCTGGGGGTGGGCGGCTCAGGCCCACCCTCCGGGCTAGTCACGCTAGTGGTTCATTTCCTTGCCCCTAGGACCAACCAGCAGCTGCAGCTCAAAGCCATGGCGCTGCTCATCGCCCTGCTGCTGAATGCCAGTGACGCGGAGAGGAGGGTAAGGTCCCCCAGAGCTGGCCATGCCCCTGGGGATCGCTGGGGGCGAGGAGGAAATGCAGTCTGTCTGCCCAGAGAGTGGGGGGCAGTCACTGGGAAGGGCTGTTTGGGGCTGGGGCAGGGGAGGATGGGGGCTGCCTGTCCGTGTTGGAAAAGACAGTGGTCAGGTCAGGGGAGCTGTGCCAGGCCCGGCTTGCTGCCTGCCTGCCGGCCAGGGGTGTCACCCTGCTGGGTTCCCTGGGCTGCTCCACAAGGCGCTTTGCCTAGCAATGTCCCAATGGTGCTAGCGCCAGCTCAGTTCCCTGGAGGGGGCGATGCCGGAGCCCTGGCGTAGAGACGAGCCGGCGTTTTAACTACCGTGCTGTCGGACCCTCCTCGGGCAGGTCGAGAAGACGCAGGGCCTAACCGCAGTAGCTGGTGCCTGTCTGCACTAGGGCTCCGGCCGGCAGAGCTCCACGGACGATTGCAGCCCGGGGCACTGGCTGCTTGCCTGGAGCATCCTGCTGAGTCGCACTGAGCTCCCAGCACCGCGTCCCTGCTCCCCCCGGCTGCTGCGGAAGGAGACGCGTGTGGCCGAGGGGACAGCTGGGCATGAGCCTTTACTCTGCCTGCCCTACCTCTCGCCTTCGAACAGCAGCACTTCCATTGCCCTGCGTGGCGCCGAGAACGGGCCGGGACCAACTGGCCAGCTGCTTTATCGCCCTCTGTGCCCTGCGCAGAGCCCCGCACAGGCCTGCCCTGTGCCCACCCCTCGGCTCTCTGCTCCGCCGAGTGCTGATCTGGGCTGGACTCTTCCACCCGCTAGATCCTTTCGTTCCCTGCACGCCCGTGTAACGTTCAGAGCCTGCCTGTTCCCCCCCGCCCGGGCAGCTGGCCTCGCCCCGTGGATTGGTGGGGAGAGCGGCTGCTGGAGGAAGCCGGCCAGCGGCTGCGGGGAGCTCAGGCCTGCCGCTTCCCGGAGCGGGTGGGGCTGGGCTGGGAGGCGCGCGTCTCACCAGCTCTCTCCCTTCCTAGGACATGATGGGCTATCTGGGCGAGAGGAACATCCGGCAGTTCATTCACAAGGTGGGAACGCAGAGAGCTCCTGGCCTCACGCCCCTCCCTGGCCGCCCCGCCCCTCCCCTGCGGTCTGCCCCCTTGCCAGGTGTCTGTGCGCCCAGAGCCTCCGCCGGCAGCATTTCTGTCCCCTTCCCCCGCTTTGCGCCAGCCTCCTACCAGTGCTGCCGTGCCCTCCCGCTGCCCGCCCTGGCACCTGGGTGCCTGCAGCTGCCTCTGTCTAGCGCTGGCCCCAGCAGCTCTGGGAGCGGGCACAGAAAGCTGGGATCCAGGCTGGGGTCACTGACGGCCTTCATTTGCGGGCTCCTGTAGAACATTATCCACGCCTCGGAGCCGATGGGGGATGAGATGGCCCATTACCTCTACGTGCTGCAGTCCATCACCCTCAACCTGCTGGAGCGGAGGATGCGGACCCCCATGGACCCCTACTCGCAGGTCTGCCGGGCTCTTCTCCCCCTTATCCCCCCCCCGTGGGCCTGTCGGGTGAGCTCTCCTGGGTCTGCCCTGGGCGCTCTCCTCCGCAAAGTGTCCCCCTCCCACCTTTCCTGCCCCTGCCACTCCTCCTCCCACCCCAGAGAGCGCCGGCCTCTCTGCCATTACACCAGTCCTCTTTGCTTCCCGTCCTGCTGAGAGTTGGCTGGAGGGGATGGCGCTACCGCCCCCTGCTGGTGGAGGGAGGCAGGGCGGTGCTGTTCCAGGTGTGCCCAGGTCACGTAGGGCTGCGTTTGAGTGCTCAGCACCCACAGCTGGAACTGGCCTTTCCAAGGGCTCAGCTCCCAGGGGTGGGAACCCATCTCAGAAGAGATCAGTACAGCTGGAAAGGTGCAGAGTGCAGCGCAAATGATGTGGGGGATGGAGCAGCTTCCGTACGAGGAGAGATGAACAAGACTGGGACTGTTCGGCTTAGAAAAAAAACAACTGAGGGGGGATATGATGGAGGTCTCTAAAATCGTGACTGATGTGGAGAAAGTGAATAGGGAAGTGTTATTTACCCCTTCACACAAGACAAGAACCAGGGGTCACCCAATGAAATTAACAGGCAGCAGGTTTAAAACAAAAGGAAGTATTTCTTCACACAATGCACAGTCAACCTGTGGAACTCCTTGCCAGGGGATGTTGCGAAGTCCAGAAGTATAACTGGGTTCATAAAAGAATTAGCTAAGGATGAGACTGGATGACGAGATGTCACTTGATAATTGCCCTGTTCTGTTCATTCCCTCGGAAGCACCTGGCATTGGCCACTGTCAGAAGACAGGATACTGGGCTAGATGGACCTTTAGTCTGACCCAGTGTGGCTGGTCTTATGTTCTTATGTACTTATACCTCTGAGCCAGGCGGCCTGGTCCCTCCCCTGTCCATGGGTTTGTTCATCTGGGCCTCCCTCCCCTCTCCTGGGTTGGGACCCCGCAAAGCTCTGGTGTTTTTGTTTGCTAGCTGGGGGGCTGTGGTCCCAGGGGCGCTAGATGGGGAGGCCTGGTGGGGCCCATTTCTTTCCCAGCAGGGTCTGAGCTCTGCCTGTGGGGTGGGGCTCGGGGCGGCAGCCCTTTCCTGGCCTCGCTAGGGCCGGACTGAGGCACCGGCCGGGCCCTGCTCTCTCTGCAGGAGCAACGGGAGCTTCTCCAGTTCCTGCGTCACAGCGCCTTCGAGTCGGAGAGCGAGGCTTCTGCTGGCACCGTCAGCGCGGAGCGCCGGCGCTCGGTGTGTGTCACAGAGTTCCGCAAGCTGGGCTTCCAGGTGAGTTGCCGCCCAGACCTTCCGCGGGGCAGGCTCCGAACCGCTCTGCCCGGAGAGCTGCAGGGGTCATTTCCGCCTCGGCTGGCGGCGGTCAGGAGCTAAGAGCGGGTCGCGGCTGTCTTGCGAAGGCAGGAGCCGTGCGGAAGTGTGGCACGCGCCGTTTCTCCCCCGCTTCCCCACATCTCTTGCCTTGGCAGGAGAACCGCGACCAGCACTTGGCTTCTGTCGGCGTCGGGATTGCACCAGGGTGTGCTGGCCCCTTAAGGGAAGCCCTCGCACCCTGTTTTGGCCCTTCGGGGAGAGGCGCTGTGCGGGTGGAAGGTGGGAATTGTGGGCAGGAAGCAGTGCATGCTGGGAAAGGGGGAGGGGGTGAGAAGGAACCTCGAGAGCCCAGCAGCAGTGTCCCCTTCTCCCAGAGCCCTTGCCCTTGGGTACAAGGTCTGACCCCAGCCCCTCTAGAGGGCAGCTCAGTGCCCACCCCTCGAGCGTGGGCTTTGGGCCTGGACCAGGCAGTGGCACGACTGTCCTCTCCAGACTCCGCTGTCCCTGCTCCCCAGGGCTATGTCCTCTCTTGTCCTGCCTGCCTCCCTGCCCCTTCCACGGGACACTTCAGCAGCGCCCTCCCAGCTCTGTTCCCGGCTCCATCCCCACTGCTGGCCCCGGGCCAGACCCCAGTCACTGGAGAGCCCCTACCTGGACCTTGGCCTGGCACCATGTGAGATTGCAGGATCCTTTATGTCAGCCAAGAGGTGGCTGGAGGCCTGGGGCTCTGGGGCCAGCCTGGGCCCCCGGCACAGCCAGGAGCACATACAAATGGCAGCTCTTTCCCATGTCTGATAGCCTTGCTTCTGTGCGCTGCATGTAGCCAATCCCATCTGAGCTCAGCAGGCCCCGTTAGGGGCCTTCAGGACGCGCTGCCGGCTTGGGGAGCCTGCGTCCTGCCCAGGCTGTGCGTCCCCACGAAGAGCTGCGGAAATCTCATTGGGTTCTCACTGGGCCGCCTGGCTTCATCTCAGCCCCTCGTTCCCCAACGCGCTGGTAATCCTGGGGTCTCTGGAGCCGTAGTGAGCCCATGGGACCGTGACCGATACGTACCGACTGTTCGTATCGGCGTCTAAACGGGAGCCCTCTCCTTTGCGCTGGGGTCAGTCACGAAAGCTGCGTCCTCTTGTGTCCTCCCAGAACCACAGTAACCCTGCCCAGGACCTGCACCGCGCGCCCCCAGGACTGCTGGCCCTGGACAACATGGTCTACTTCTCCAGACACTGCCCGAGCGCCTATAGCAGAGTGAGTGGATGTTCCCGGCTCGTGAGCTGTGCCCCATGCACAGCCCTGGGAGGTTTCTCCCATCTCGCCGGGTTTGCCTACACGTGGAGCTATTCAGAAATAGTTATTTCACTTCAAATTCCCTCCCTACCTTAATCTGAATTAACTTTCCAGTGTAGTCGAGCCTTTATTTCTCGTAGCTGGAGAGCCAGCACCCCCTAGCAGTAGGTCTGCCTGGGCCTTCCTATCCTAAGGCCATTTTGTCAGTTATTCGTAACATCCTCAGCTGTTCGGCCAACGTTCACGCTGATCTTTGTCTCTGCCTGAGGCTGGCAGGTTTGGGGAGGGGGGGGTGTTGAGCCAGGCTATTTTGGAGTGCAAGGAAAGCGGCAGCTACACTTTGGGTACAGATATTGGCGGCGTTTTTGTCCCGCTCTTGTGCTGAAGCGGGCGGGCAGCTGAAATTTCCCATGGCCCTTGGGGAGCCAGAGGTGTTTTCAGCACTGCTAAAAACCATCTCTGGTTTGGCTGAAATAGAACAGTGTAAATATCATCTTCACACGTGTGGAGTAAGAGCACTCAGGATCCTGGACTCATCAGGACACATGGCGGGAAACGCGGGCAAATTCCCTGACGCAAAGCGCTGGGTTCTCTGGTTTGTGCTGTACGGGGGTCAGACTAGCTGAGAACAAGGGTCCTTTCTGTGCGTCTATGAAAAACCTACAAATAAATGCAGCTCAGGTCCTGATAGCAGCACGCCGTCCCCCCGGGCGCTGAGCAGTCCCGTCGCTGGGGGCTGGGACGTAGGATGGATGGTACCGTAGTGCCCTGCTTCTGGAGCTGGCCGAGATGCCAGTAAAAACATTGTGTCCCTGAAAAATACCGACGGGGACTGGTCTGCCCGTCTTCTCCACGCGTCTCCGGCAGCGTCTCCTTTCGGTTCCCAAGCGAGCCCGGCTGCTTCGGGGCATGACGCTTCCTCATTGAGTTCTCACTGCCACTGAATTCTAACCCGCCCGCCCCGGGGGGCACCCGAACCCCGAGCTTCCTGTCCGCGGTGCAGCTGGTGGGAGCCTTTGGGCTTGGAGGGGGTACGCGGACCTTACCCGTCACTGCCCTCGCTAGCCCTGCCTGGGAGAGCTCTTTGGCGGCTCTGCCTGCCCGGGGGCGTGTGCGCTCAGGGAGCTGTGACAGGGCCCGTGTCTCTCAGTTTGTCCTTGAGAACAGCAGCCGTGACGATAAACACGAGTGCCCGTTTGCCCGGAGCAGCATCCAGCTCACCCTGGCCCTCTGCGAGATCCTGCACGTCGGGGAACCATGTGAGTGCCCGGCCCCTTGCGTCTGCTAACGTAGCCCGTCCAGAGCCCCACGACTCCCGGCTGAAACCGGGGGGCATCACAGATCCTGGCTAGGTTAGGGGGTGGTCACAGCTGAAACCTTGTGGGTGTCCTAGCTGGGGGGGGGGGGCGGATGGGTGCAGCCATATCCTGCAGGCATCATGGTCGCCATTTCTGGGACCTCCTGGTTGTTGAGGTTTTCCAAAAGAGCAGGGAAACCTAGTCCCATTGTGTCCTTCTTGCCTCAGGCTCGGAGACGGCCCAGGCCTTCTACCTCATGTTCTTCGGTCAGGACCACTTCTTCCAGGAGCTCTTCTGTATCTGCATCCAGCTGCAGAACAAGACCTGGAAGGAGATGCGTGCCACGCAGGAGGACTTCGACAAGGTGAGCCCCGTGCTGCCATGGAGCGGGGTGTCCAGGGTCTCACTGGGCAGATGGGATCTGGACAGATCTGCACTGTGGAACGGGGTGGTGCCATGTGCTGGTGCCATGTGCCGCACAGAGGGCGTGGGGGGCTGTGGAGCGGGGTCCCGTGCCAGTGGGATGGTGCCGTGTGCCCCGTGGGGGGCTGTGGAGCGGGGTCCCATGTGCCCTGCGGGGGCGCATGGGGGGGCTATGGAGCGGGGTCCCATGCCGGCGGGGTGGTGGCATGTGCCCCGTAGGGGGACAGTGGAGTGGGGTCCCGTGCCGGTGGGGTGGTGCCGTGTGCCCCGCGGGGGGCTCTGGGGTGGGGTCCTGTGCCGGCGGGGTGGTGCCGTGTGCCCCGCAGGGGAAGTGGGGGGCTGTGGAGCGGGGTCCCGTGACAATGCCCTGTGCCTGCAGGTGCTGCAGGTGGTCCGGGAGCAGATCACCCGGACCCTGTCCCTCAAACCCACCTCCCTGGAGCTGTTCAAGACCCGAGTGAACGCGCTTAACTACAGCGAGATCCTGAGACTGCGGCAGACGGAGAGGATGCACCAGGAGGAGACGCTGGCCGTGCCTGTGCTGTGAGTGGGAGAGGGGCCGGGGCACAGGGAAAGGGGCCCCGGCTCTGTATCAGGAGCTGCAGGGGGAGCCCCCTACTCTGCCAGTTGGGGCCTTGGAGGTCTGGGGTCCCTGCTCTGAGCATTGGGGGGAGGTCTGGGGGTCTGCTCCAAGTGCTGGGGAGGGTCTGCGGTCCCTGTGCCGAGCACTGTGGGGGCGGGGCGGGGTCCCTGCGCTGAGCGCTGCAGGGGAGGGGCGGCGGGGGGAGCCCTGCCAGCCCGCTGGGGCTCAGCGCTGCGCTCGGGATGGACCTGCCCATGTCCCATCTCGCCCGCTCCCCAGGGAACTGCGAGAGAGGCTGAAGCCCGAGCTCCTGGAGCTGATCCGCCAGCAGCGGCTCCTGCGGCTCTGCGAGGGGACCCTCTTCCGCAAGATCAGCAGCCGCCGCAGACAGGGTGAGGTCAGGGGCAGCGCCACGTCCTGGCGCGCTGGGCCCTGACACCCGGGGGCCGGAGGGGGCGCTTGGCACTGTGGGGGGAGTGGTCAGTGTCCCTCAGGTGGTGGGGGAGAGGTCCGAGGTGCCTGCGGGGGGCAGACAGTGGGCACTGAAGTACGTTCGCTAAACTCTGGAGACCAGCGTGGCTGAACTGGAGGAGCTAAGGGAGACCCCCGGGACGGTCCCACCCCTGGGCTGGCAGCCCCTGGGCTGTTGAGGAGGATGAAAGTCTCAGGGTAGGAGAACTTCAAGCAGGAGTGTGGGAAACGATCCCAGAATTGGGGCCCTCCCTCCAGATGACGTCATGGTGTCCTCTTGCCCTGAGGATACCCTGCAGCAGTAAGGGCAGCATGGTGCGGGGAGGTCATCACAGCCTGAAATAGTTTCAAAGTGGGGGTCCCAGCAAAAAAAAGTTTGAGACTCCTGGATCTAGACAGACTTGCGTGCAGTGCTGGGGAGGAGCCGGTGGTCATGGTACGTGTCAGTACCGATGACACAGGGAAAGGTAGGAGAGAGGTCCTGGAGGTCAAATTTGGGTTGCTAGGTGAGAGACTACAGTCCAGGGTCTCCATAGCAACATTGTCTGAAATGCTTCCAGTTCCACGCGCAGGGACGGTAAGGCAGGCAGAACCGCAGGGTCTCAATGTGTGGATGAGACGACGGTGTAGGGAGGAGGGATTTAGATTTATTAGCAACCAGGGAACCTTTTGAGAAAGGAGGAGCATATACAGAAGGATGGGCTCCACCTAAGCCAGAACAGAGCCAGATTGCCAGCATGTAAACCTAAAAAGGTCGTAGAGCAGTTTTTAAACTAAGGGCTGGGGGAAAGCCAGTAAGTGTGGAGGAGCACATGGTTCGGACAAAGACATCCCTTAGGGGAGGAGGAGACGTCCGTCTGTGGGTGAGCCGAGGGCCCTGACTGCCACTTCCTTCCCATCCCAGATAAGCTGTGGTACTGCCGCCTGTCCCCCAACCACAAGGTGCTGCACTACGGAGATGTGGAGCAGGGGGTGCAGAGCCCCGCCATTGAGAGCCTGCCGGAGAAGAGTACGTGACAGCCAAGAGGGGGATCGTCCCTCAGAGGGGATGTGATCGCGGGGTGCCAAGTAACAAATGGGGGGCTTCTGTTCTCTCTCGAACACGGAGCAAGGGACGCTTGGTGACTTGGGAAAGTCCAAACCGATGCTCTTCCCACAGGGGGCGGTTAGCCTGGGGAACTCATGGCCACAGGAAGCTGCTGAGGCCAAGAATTTAGCAAGATTCCCAGAGAGAGCGACTATGGAGCGGCCAGAACTGGCATCGTTCATGCCAACCCTCAGCCTAGACAGGATATTGACTGTCCTGCTTTTGGGCTTCAGCTGGTCTCTGTTAGAGAGTGGGGGCAGAGCGTCCCCATCTGCTCCTGGGGTTCGGGCACTGCCCTCTGAAGCAGCTGGCGTTGGCTACTGAGGGAGATGGGACTCTGAGTAGATGGGCCTTGGCTCTGAGCCTGCCTGGTGGGGCCTGGGCTGCTGAATAATGCCGTACTGCTGGCATGTACCCGCTCTGCCCAGCACCCAAGGGGGCTGCCTTTCCTCCTGTGCTTGTCTTGCCAAGAGAGCTGTGCTGGGCTCCCTCAGGGCGCGAGTGTGCAGGGGCTTGGGCTATCAGGGACTCCTGGGCCACCTGGGGTGGGGGTGAGGCTGTGGGGCAGGGGGTGGGGGGAACACGCTGGGCTCTGCTGAGCGCCTCTGCCATGCCTCTGTCCCCCCAGTTCCCGTGGCCGACATCAAGGAGCTGCTGGTTGGCAGGGAATGCCCGCACATGAAGGAGAAGGGCTCCGGGAAGCACAACAAGGTCAGCAGCTGCTCCCTGCCTGGCCACTCACCCCCCCCTCCCCCCCCCAATGCTGGGCTCTGTACAGGCATGTGTCTGTCAGCGGGGTCCCGGGGGTGGGGCTCCTGACGCCTCCCTCTGCTTGTTCTCCACTGCGCTGGTCCAGGGAAGGCAGAGAGCGCGCAGAGATCTGGGCAGGCGCGTGCTGCAATGGCAGCGGTGAAGGGCCAGCAGCTGCCCTGCCTAGGCCACCGTCCGGGTCTTACACCCCCCCGGGCCGGCCGGCAGCGCAGGACCCAGCGTGGAACCTGAACGGGGCAGAGAGCAAGAGCCCAGCAAGACGGCGCTGAGAGCGGACGCTGGGCCGGGTGCTCCCCCACAGCCCTGCGAGCTCACCAGCTCCTTGCCCCGGGTTTGCCCTGCCTGGAGATTGGGGGCTGCTGATACCACGTGTAGGCCTGGGAACTCTCCAGGGGCTTGTCTGTACGGGCGTTACTGGGCAGCCAAAGAGCACCCAGCTTGCTGCACGGCGCCGTCCCGGTGACCTGTCACCGCAGGGTACAGCCTGTCCGCTGCCTTGCCTTGGCCCCGTGCTCTGCACAGCCCTTCCTGTCCTCGCTGCGGCCGCACCCAGGACCGGCTGCCGAGAGATTGAGATGTGCCTGCCCTTTCCCCACAGGATGTCCTGGACCTGGCCTTCTCCATTAGCTATGACGTGGAGGAGTACTACCTGAACTTCATCGCCCCCACTCGCTACGAGGTGAGCCTCTGCGTGCGGCCCGTTGGGCCGGGTTCTAGCTCGGCCTCTGCCGTTGGCTTGGTGGGTGTCCTTGGCAGAGTCTCTGCCCCTTTGTCTGTTTCCCCGTCTGTGAAAGAGGGAGGCGGCTCCCCCTTGGCAAACCCTTCAGGCTCTGTGAGCGGAGAGTGCGTGGCAGGGCTGGTGGGGTCCGTGCGGACAGACAGCAGGAAGCAAGATGGGCACGTGGCCCAGAGCTCATTCCCCGGACACGGCATTCCAAGCTGTAACTCTCCGGGTAAGCCGGCAGCACCCACGCCGCTCTGGGCAGTCCCACCCCACTGCCAGTTGTTGGCCGGGGCTGCGGGCAGTCATGCCTTTGTACGTCGGTCTGGCTGTGCCTTGGGGAAGGCAGGTTCTGCAGTTCACTGCCCAGGCGTCCTCAGAGGCGCTCAGACCAGCCTGGATGAATGGGAAGTTACAATTTCCCTCAGCCCGGGACAGAGGTGAGGGCCCTTGGGGATGGGCTTGAACAGACATCCAAGGGCGAGGGGTGTTGTAGGATCGATTGGGGGGATGCGCATGGCTTAGATCAGATTGGGATGGCACAGGACCTGGCCCTGGATCGGGAAGGGATGGAGGAAGAGGTGTGGTGATGGATGCCAGGGGAGTGTGGTGGATGGACGTGGAGCTAGGAGGCGGCGTGTGAGATGCCAGATGCCTCTGAACGGGGGGAGGGTGCCCGGTGGACTGGGGGGAGAGACAGGAATGCAGCGAGGGGGGCGCATTGGAGGACAGGTGTGGGAGGGGAACAAGGCATTAGCACTGTCCCTGCCTGGAGAAGACACTACACACAGCCGGCTGAGGTTGAACCAGTGTGACTTTGCCCCTAGCCAAGGGCCGGGGGGTCAGATCTCCGCGCAGACACTGGGGGCCGGGGACTGAGCTGTGCTGCACAAAGCCAGCGGCCGGAGCCCTCCCCTGTCCGCAGGCTGGGGCTACACCCTGGCCTGCTGCTTCCCCCTGACCTGTCTGAGGCGCGTGGGCGAGGGGCACACCTGTGGTGTTGGGCGGGAGGCTCGGGAGGAAGTGGGAGGCAGGCAGCGTGGCCCAGCCGGCGGGGGCGACTACCCCACGGCTGAGGCCAGCTTTCGGTTGCCCCTCAGTTCTGCCTGTGGACGGACGGCCTGAACGTGTTGCTGGGCCGGGAGCTGACGAGCGAGCGAACCCAGAGCGAGCTCGACATCCTGCTCTCCATGGAGCTCAAGCTGCGCCTCCTGGACCTGGAGAACATTTCCATCCCCGACGCCCCTCCTCCCGTCCCCAAGCCCCCCAGCAACTTAAACTTCTGCTACGACTTCAGCCCCAATGAACAGTGAGGGCCTCCACCCCCGCCATGGTGCTCTCGCTCCCCGCAGCCAGCCCCAGCTCCCGGCCCTGCTAGCGGGAAGTCTGGGCCAGAGGCTGGGCTGGAAGGGGGGAGGAAGGGAAAACCTGGCTCCCCGCTGTGGCCCCTCCTGCTGGGCAGAGAGTGAGTGGGGGAAGGGCTGGTGGGTGAGAGCCATGATCTCCTTTCCCCCCTCGTCCTGGTTCTGCCCCGGGGGAGCCGCCGAGCCCTGGGTCCACTCCCCCCTTCCCCCTAGGGCAGCCTCCCACCCCTTCCACTTGCCACCCTGACCGAGCGGGGCTCACCCAAGTGCCTCATTGCCCCACGCTGCACTGGTGCTGCTGCTGTTACTGCGCCATGGGGGGTGGCCTGGGGCGCCCCGCTCCCCACGGCAGGCTGCTCCTGGGGGGTTGACAGAGCCTTTGGCAATCCGCCGAGCCCCTTGGAGCTGGCACCATCCTCCTGCAGGAGTCCTCACCTGCTGCACTGGTACGATACGGGGCACCTGGGCACACCCCAGGGAAAGATGCCGAGGTGGCACCCAAGAAGGTACGATTCTGTGCTGCCCCACGCTCCCCCTGCCGCTCTCTGGGCACGGGACACACAGTGATAAGTGACAGCCTGGGCAGGGGGGCTGGTGCCTCTCCCTGGCCCGGTACCTGCTGAGGATCTCTCTGCTGCTGGCTCATCAGCCAAACGCCTGGCAAGGTGGGCTCAGCACTGCAGGAGGAAGCTAAACTGTCACCCTGCAGGGCAGGGCCCAGCTGTCGCCCTGAGCTTTGACGTGGTGCCAGCAGCCCCCGTTATTCTTTATGGACAAGAGGGCGTTCTGGGGAAAATCTGCCTTCCAGCAGCTATGGTGTTAAAGCTGCTGGGGCCAAATGGCTGAGCGACTCCCTGAGCACAAGGAGAAAGGGAGTCACTGCCAGTCCCCTCTGCGAGCCTCCCTGGCTGGGGGGAGCTGAGGCTGGGCATGGGCGGGCGCCTGCTGCAGGCTCCACTGTCACTCGGGGCTGAAGTCTGCACCCCGGGAATCCCGGCCAGGCTGCCAACGCCCCACCGCTGTCACTCGGGGCTGAAGTCTGCACCCTGGGAATCCCGGCCAGGCTGCCAACGCCCCACCGCTGTCACTCAGGGCTGAAGTCTGCACCCTGGGAATCCCGGCCAGGCTGCCAACGCCCCCCTGGGCCTGGGGCTCCAGCCGAGCCATCCCTGGTCACAGCCCAGCACTGACTGCCTCGCCCCTCCTACCGTCTACCCTGCCCCGGGATCCACTGCCCCCCTTCGCCAGAATGCTGCACTTACTAACTGGCCAGCCTGTTTCCCTGGCCCCTCACCCTGCTCTGTACCACTCCAGCCTGGTGCTTCTACTGAGAGAGGTACCCCGTGGCACCAGGCCCTTCCCCCCCACCTCTATATGGGACTCGAATAATACTAAGGGACTAACCTGCCAGATTGTCTCACACTGGATCTGCACTGTCCCCTGCCCTGGGGCTGGAGAGGGCTGAGAACAGAGCCCTTCCACCACCCAGCATTTGGACAATAAACACTTGTACGGAGAATCCCACGGCCTGTTTTCTTAAGGGGGGAGTTTGGGGTTTCCAGCTAGATTCCTCCGGCCTCCCTGGGCTGGACCCTGGTTAGCCGCAGAAGCTGCAAGGCAGTGACTGCAGCCCCCTTGGACAGTGCTGTTTCATAGAATCTCAGGGTTGGAAGGGCCCTCAGGAAGTCATCTAGTCCCACCCCCTGCTCAAAGCAGGACCAATCCCCAAATGGCCCCCTCAAGGATTGAACTCACAACTATGAGTTTAGGAGGCCAAAGCTCAAACCACTGAGCTATCCCTCCCTGGCAGAGGGTGGGCTGGGGCCCCAGGCCCTCCTGCTTTGCACAATAGCACAGATCAGTGGGGCTGTTTAAATCAGAGGCTTTTATTAGAGCACTGGCCGCATCGCCGGGTAAAGGCGCCACGCGTCACTTTGGAGGAGTCTGAAGCGGGGCGGGTTCCCAGGAGGGTCGTGGTGGGTGGTAAGGAACGCGTGAAACGGAGACCAGTGTGCTCTGGAAGCAGCTGGTGCGGTGGGGGCAGGCATAGGCTGGCAGCACAGAGCTTTGTCCTGGCACAGGAGAGTGGGTGCTGAGCCATCCCCGTCCCCATCCCCCACCGCTGGAGGGGGAGAGCGGGCAGTGAGCCATTTCCCCCCCACACCTCTGGAGGGGGAGAGTGGGCAGTAAGACACCCCCCACCACCACCACCACTGGAGGGGGAGAGCGGGCAGTGAGCCATCTCCCATGCCACTCTGCCTCCCAGGGAGCAGGGGGTGGGCTTAGGCAGTGAAGTCTCTTCCCCCATCCCCATCCCCCCCCCGCTTTGCAGCACTAGGCTTAGTCCCGAGCTGCAGTCTGTGCTGGGGAGACGGGGCAGGGGGCTTGGAGGAGTCGCTGGCCTCGGCCTCGAGCGCTGCCGACTGCATGGAACAGCAGCTCTCGCTGCCCAATACTGCTGAGGAAGGAAGCACCCAACCCCTTCAAGGGGCTTTATCACCCTCTGCCCCTGGGTGAACGCAGCCCAGGGCAGGCGCCCTGGCTTTCGGCTTTTCCCACTGTCTCAGCCCTGCGTGAGCAGCCGGGGACCCCTGGAACTCACTGGTGGTGCCAGGCTCCAAACAGCTCTGCATACCAGCATCTCCCAAAGGCACCCTGGGGGTGTGCCGGGGCGGGAGCTCAGGGCCTGGCCTGGGTCTTCGCACACCCGGCTGGACCTTGGCAGCGGCCCAGCTGCACGTAGTGTTAGACACTAGAACTCTCTGGCCAAGGGGTGTCACCACTCGCCCCCCAGCCCAGGCCAAGACGCCGTGGAGCGCGTGTCCCAGCTGGGAGCGGGACGCGGGGAAGGGCCTGAGCTGTAGCATCAGCCATTCTCCGAGCTGCCCCAGACCGGAGGGATCTGAGCCTGCCGCTTGGCCCCGCTCACAGGGTGAAGGAAAGATCTGCTCCGCCCACAAAGCGCGACTGGACACACGTCTGCAGGGGCAGCTGGGCCTGGAAAAGCTCAATATCGGCCATGCTGATCCCATGGCACATGGAGACATCCAGGCTCTTCAGCTGTCTGCACTCCCTGCTGATGGCCATCAGTGTCCTGCAAAGGAGACAAGTCAGGGCTCTCTTCCCCCTTCCTCCCAGCCTGCGACAGGCAGGGCGACTCCCCCGTTGAAGGCCAGCATCAGAGGAAGGCCTTGCGATACTTACTGGCGTGTGAGCTGGCTGCAGCCAGAGATGACTAAGTGCTGGAGTCTCCGTAGAGAGCTAGCGGCCTCCAGGAAGCCTTTGTCAGTCAGCTTTCCGCAGTGACTCATGGACAGCTGCTCCAGGCTCTGGCAACCCCTGGCCACCGCTACCAGGCTGGCGTCGGTGATCTCCGGTAGCAAGCTGAGGGACAGCCGCCTCAGGGCGGGGAAGCGGATAACCTAGATGGACAGACGGATGAGAGCCCATCGGGCAGAACTGGCCTGAACCTTTCCAGAATATTACAGCCGTTGTGCTGGCACTCAGGTGGGCACATCTTCACCACCGGCTCCCGGCCTGGGCAAGGCTTGCACAGAAAACTTCAGAGCATAAAGTATTAGGAAGGAGAGAAAAGGCGTCCTCAGCCCGGCTCCCCCCAGAGCCGTGGCACCGGGAGTTCTGAGGAATGAGGTCTTACCCCCGATCTCGCCCTGGATCAGTACCGCTGCTGGCACTGGGCAGGAGGGGGTTGCTTTCTGCTGGCAGGGCAGCTTCTAACCCAGCCAGCCTGGCGTCTGCACGCTGCCCACCCAGCCGCACGGCAGCTCCCCAGCTGGAGAAGCAGATCGGAGCCTGATTCCTCCGCCTCAGCGCCCTGCGTCACGTGGGCACCTGGTGGGCAGTGGTGACACAGTCCAGTGCTGAGGGAGCCGTCAGCACCCGGCACCGTTTCCCCTGGTACGTGCACAGGAACACGCAGCCCAGGAGGATTTCACTGGACAGCCGCTGGGCTGGGCTGATCCACGGCCGGGCTCTCCATACCTTGGCGATGCTGCTGTCAGTCAGCTTGCTGCAGGCCATGAGGTCGAGCTCTTGCAGCTGTTCTAGCGCCTGCAGGGAGGCCCGGTGCTGCTTCTGGGACTCGTTCCAGGCGGAGTCGCTGAGGACCTTGGGATCCTGCTCCAGGTTCTGCAGGGGCGGCAGGAAGAATCCCATGTTACCGAAATTCCTGCTGAACTGTGGCCCTGCGTCCTTCTGCCAAGAAAAGGGACATGTTGCTGAGCCCGGGGGGCTCTCGGCCTCCCATCCTCTGAGCTGTGGCAGGGACTGGGCCTGGGGTCCCAGAGAGAAGGAACAGCCCCACAGACGTTCCCGTTCCATGCTGGCCCCCTGCAGAAAACCAAGGTGCCGAGCTGGGACTGCGCTGCCACCACCTCCATGCATCCTCCTGCCTGGGCACAGGCTGGCCCTTGGCAGCACTCAGAGAGCCCCTGCTGCCTCGGCTTTCACTCCACGGGCATCAGCCAGGCTCCGGAGCGGGCTCTCACCTCTCTGCGATGGTTACGCTCCTCTCTGGGCTCCTCTACGCCCAGGAGGCCCCAGTCCGTCAGCTCCTTGCACCAGGCCAGTCGCAGGACAGTCAGCCGGGGGAGGTGGGAGGAAATCGCTTGGATGCTCACATTGGTGATGGAGACGCAGGAGGAGAGGTCTAATACCCGCAGACTGGGGCTGAGGGACCTGGCCAGCGAGAGGACAGAGCTGTCCTGGGGAGGAGAAGGGAATGAGTGAGAAGCCAAAGAGCTGCACTGAGCAATGCCAAACATGCCCTGTTGGCCAAGGCTCTGTGCAGGAGAGAGCCCCGGTGGGGCAGAGCCGGGTGGCCCGGCTGCAGGTGAAGGGGTATGGGACTGAAAGGCAGGGCCCTGCCCCCTCTGCCAATAGCAGGAATTGGGGAACTTACTCTGAGCAGAGAGCAGAAGGCAAAGCTGAGGGAGGCCAGGCTAGGCCGCAGCTCAGGGGTGGAGCACACTTTCACCAGCTCACTGCCGCTCACGAGGCTGCACTCAGACAGGTCCAGCCTCTGCAGGCTCCGGAGCTCAGCAATGCCCAGGAAACCCCCGTCCGTCAGGCGCTGGAGCTTCCCCAGGCCCAGGCTCTGCAGGGCTCGCAGCCCCGCGGACACAGCGAGGGCGGCCCGGTCGGACAGCTCAGAGCACCCAGTGAGGTCCAGCACGGTCAGGTGGGGCTGGTGCGTACAGAGGAGGCCGATGGCCTCGTTGGAGAGGTCGCTGCAGTTCTGCAGCACAAGTTCCCGCAGGCGCAGCCCCTCCACTTGCACCAGGGCCCTCATCGCCGGCGAGGTGATGCTGGTGCCGCTCAAGTCCAAGGCCCTGAGGTTGCTGGCCCGCTCCTTCAGGAAGCGCAGGAGGTTGCGGAAAGACAGCAGAGCAGAGGAGTTGTAGTTGCTGGACCCGCGGTAGGGGTCAAACTCAAAGGTGAGGTGGCAGCGAGCCAGTGAGAGTCTGGCCAGGTGTGGCGCACAGCCTGTCAGCCGGTTGAAACTGAGATCCGACAGGTAGCGCAGGCCGGCCAGGTTCAGCTCCTGGAGGTTGGTCAGCGCTCGTCGGGCTTGGCTGATGGTCTCTGGCTTGGAGAGCAGCGTCCCGGACATGAAGAGGCTGTTGCAGCCACTCAGATCCAGCGAGGAGAGGCGGGGGCAGGCAAGGAGGAGGTGCACGAAGGCCGTCTCGGTCAGGCTGCTCCCACGCAGACACAAGCTCTGCAGATGTGGCCCCAGGTGACAGGAGACAGCCTGGATCACGTCCCGGGAGACAGTGGAGCTGTCGAGGCTGGTCAGGCTGACGCAGCGCACGCGCCGTCTGGCCAGGGTCTCAATGGCAGCCAGGGAGGCGGAGGTGGCTGGGATGTTGTACAGGATGTTCTCCTGGAACCGACAGGGGAGAGGCTGTTGCCACAAACGGGGGAATTCAGAGTAAAGGCGCTCCCCCATCCAGGCCTCTAGCAGTGCCCCTGGGAGGGGAGGCAGGACTCCAGGGAGAGATGCTTGGGGGAAGCATTGGAGACACAGGCTAGCACAGGCCTTGAGGCTCCAAAACCTGGGTCTGGGGGCAACAATGGAGGTGCCCTAGGCTCCAGAGACACAGCCAGGGAACAACTGTCTTCCCCTCCGCCCCTTCGTTGGGAGCAGACTGAGCATGTGCAGAATGAGGTGGTGAATGCAGATCCCAGGGAGTGACCATAGGAGTGCAAGCCTGTGCACTGCCCGAGAGCTGGTGGGGGGCGGGGGGGAGAGGGGAACTGCAGAGTGAGCCTGGGGGGGGACTGAGTGCTGCAGTGAGCTGAGGGGGTGGGGGGCGGGAGGGGGCGAGAGCCGCAGAGTGAGCTGGGGGCGGGGGGACTGCATTCAGGTATGTGCTTGGCCTGGCTCTGTAACTCTCCTGTGCTGTCTAAGAGTAAAGTGGGGGTGTTAAGAAGTTCCTTGCAAAGCCACTGCCCTTGTTTTAACAGCCACCTGGTGCCCAGGGGTTGAACTGCCACCCAGAGAGTCTACAGGTAGGTGAGGCTCTGGGGGAATGTGCAGAGTGGCTGCAGAGGCTTGGGAACTCTCAGCACTAGCTTTGGGGCCTGGGCAGTTGGCTGTGGGAGTCCTTCGTCCCAGGAAGGGGGCCACATGACAGGTCTTCCCCGAGGATGGTGTCCTAGAAATCCTGCCGCTTGAAGCAGGGACTGGACACGGCCCAGAGCCGCCTGCCTGGGCACATGTGGGATCCAAAGGTGAGGGCCGATTAACACAGGGGACTCAGCAGGACTGGGCCAGTGGGCATGCCACGTCGTCGCGTGGATGAGGGCTGCTGGGAGGGGTGGGCTTTACCTGCCGCAGGGAGTCCTGGGCCGCAAAGTACCAGGTGTGATTCACCAGAGAGGCCTCCTTCCTGTCGGCAATGGGCAAGAAGCTGAGGATGTAGGTGATGACCTGGGAAGAGAATGGGAGACGCATGGGGAAGGGCCTCAGAGCAGGACTTGCGCAGCACAGAAGAATTAGGGCATTTGCTGGGGAAGCCGTGATTGGAGAAGAACAGCAGTGCCTGACTTGCTCCCGTTTCTGAGACGCTGCTGTACAGTCTTCTTTAAAATAAGAACACAGCATAATTGATGCCGTGATGTCTGCCTGGGTCTGCAGCCAGCCTGAAGCAATAGCTCAGAGGTGCGAACTACCTTCTTTGTGCGGATGGTGTGAGCTCTGAAATGCTAATCTAACGTCAGCATGGTGAACTGTCTCACTCCAGACAATTTCAGCTGAAACTTCCAGCTCACGTTTGTATCCCACAATCCCAAAGTGCCTCTCCCTCCTTCCCAGGAGGCAAAAGCCCCAACTGTTCCCGACTCTGGTGCCAGCTTCCCCCAGACAACTTCCACAATGTCATGCTATATGGTCAACACAAAACTCTGAGTATGCTGTCACCTTAGAGACAGCGCAAAATCAAATGATCAAATTCAACAACCCAGAGACGCTGCACTGGTTCCATGATTCATGGTCCTGTTTAATGAATCAATAGACCACCTCCCTGTTTTAATTTCTCTGAAGCTTCGGCCCAATTCCCAGGCTGCTGCATGGGAGGGCTGAAGAATTCAGATCAAGTTTGCCATGCACATGGCCCTGAGGAGAAATGAGGATTACCTCACCCCACCCTGAAGTGTGACCACTTCTGTGGTGGGACACAGCAGCTGGGCATGCACAGAGACGCTGCCCAAGCATTTAGGACAGGAAGTGAGGAATGCTTTATCCTAGTATGCTTGCAGGCACAGTTCCCAACCTCCTTTGCACCCTGTAATATTTCATGTCCACTTTGGCCAGGTGCTGTCTCAAGGGTGGGCACTAACTGACAGGACTGGAGGAATACTCCACACATTTGTAGTGGGAGCAAGGCCACTTGCACAGTGCCAGACTCGCAAGGGGTCTCACCGTTCCTTCAGGGTAGGCCCGGCAGCCTCAACGCTTCCAAGGCTGAAGCTTTGGGTTCCAGCACTCCTGTGTCACACCATGAGCTCTGCCCAGCGAGTCCAACTGAGACAGACTCCTGGTCAGAGACCATTACACTCTTCTGGGACCAGCGCACCTCAGCCACTGTTTGCAGTGACACCAGGCAGAGGCGGGTTTGTTAGTCACCCAGAAGACAGCATCGGGAAGTCCTTAGGTTAGTACAGACAAGCAAAGGTTAAGACATGGTCCATCCTGGCCAAGCCAGTGTTCACCCAGCCATGCTGCCTGGAATCCATTTCTGGCCCTCTCCCTCTGTCACCTCTTTGGCCTTGGCTACACTGGCGCTGTACAGCGCTGCAACTTGCTGCGCTCAGGGGTGTGAAAACGCCCCCCCCCCCCGAGCGCAGAGAGTGCAGTGCTGTAAAGCGCCAGTGCAGCGCTGCAAACTATTCCCCTCGGAGAGGTGGAGCTCTCGCAGTGCTGGCGGCGCGACTACACTCGCGCTTCACAGCGCTGCCGCGGCAACGCTGTGAATCCCCAAGTGTAGCCAAGGCCTTTGTCAGTCCCAGGTGAGAGCTGCTGAGTCTCTCCAAAAGCCAGCTCTGATCCCCCTCCTGCCAACCCATGCTGAGGTCAGGTCACATGTTCCACCTGCCAGAGATTCCACGTCCTCGGGCCTCCCATTGTCATTCTAGATCCTCCACTGATATGGGTCAGCTTCAGCCAGTCCTTTAACGCCCCATTCATCCCACCCCAGAGAGTTCTGTGACACACACACCTCACGCTCCTGCTCTGCCCTAGGTGTAGAGTTAACCCTTTTGCACCACGGGGTGGCAATCCCGCGCTCAGTAAGTTACTGCCATGCATATCCTTCATACAAATATTACAGACCAGTCCCACTTCGCCACACCTGTGAAGCTTCCTGAGCACTGCAGCAGGCCAGGCCGCTGTGGGGTTTACCCAGGCATCTGCTGAGCTAGTTCAATAGCAGCATTGTCAGAAATGCCCTAGGAAGAGGGGGTGGGCAAGAGCCCTTCACGGGGCTGTTCCAGCCTGACCGCCGGCAGAGCTCACCAAACTGCCAAACCCAGGAAACGGCCAAGCAAGGCCTTTGGCTGGCTCTAAGGACAGGGGGCGTGCTGGGGGGAAATGTTATGGGGAACAGTCTGTCCCCCCACAGGTAAGGACTCTAGACGTGTAGACTTTTGTTGTTGTAAAATCCCTTTTTCTCTTATGCTCTGCTTGGATCCTGAGGTCACACGAACACTGCTTTGGTCTGAGAGAAGGCTGTCTGGTCACTAGCTCCCCAAGGGAAGACCCACAAGCGCCGAACCCCATCACACCGGCAGGGTGAGCATGGTCAGTCCACAGGGGCCTGCAGCCCAGGGCCTGGTCTAAGAGTGACAGTATCATCACGAAGTCCCACAGGGGATCAAAGGCATTGAGGGAAGCTGAGGGAGGACAGGTAATAAAGGCAGATAAGCAGTCTGGAGAATTCTAGTGAAGCTGTTCTGCCAGTCTATTGCTTGTTACTGTTAGGTACTTTGGACTCTGGATCATAGCAGAGCTGTACGTTAGCTACTCTTATCAGCATCCTTAATGACCCCTCTAAAGGGTGTTTCCACAGCAGCACTGTACGCACTGTACAGAAGATGGCTGAATACTTTATGTGCTTTTCAAACTTACACCAACCTCTTGACGCAAAGGTTTCTAACATAGAGCCACGTCCTGCAGCACTCTCAGCTCCCACTGCAGTCAAAGTTATCCCAGTGAAATCAAAAGGAAACTGAGGATGCTCAACACCCAATAGAAGGCATGCAGCACCTTGCAGGATTGGCTCGTTACTGTGACAAGGAACATTTGCTCTCCCTTGGTTGATTGAAATATACCTAGTGTTACACACAAAGGTGCTTCCATTGACTGTTGGGTGGCTAAGGAACCAGACAGACAGACCTGGCGTTCTCAGGGCTCAGCACCAGGATCAATCACCCGATGCCAGGGCAGGTGAAAGTGCTGGCACAAAGCTGAGCACCCCAGTGGGGAGAGGAGTGCTGTCAGGAGCAGAGTGCCAGCTCCGTTTCACAGCTCCCTTCGTTGGTAGAACTCCTACAGTCCCCCCTCATGTCCACAACCAACAAACATAACAATGGCCATGCTGGGTCAGACCAACGGTAAGTTTGGACTACAGAGGAGGGTGTCTCAGGACTTCTCCTTAGTTCAAAGATCTGCACCTCTCGAGTGCTTTACCAGCAGAGGTACCGTGGCTAAAGATTCCTTGGCTCAGCCTGTGTTCCCTGCTTTCCCGTCACATTGTCCCCGAAGGGGTTAAACTAGAAGCCAGAGTACCCACAGCTAAGGTGGGGCTCGGGGAGTTTTACGTTTCTTAATATAAACGAGGCTCTTTACAAGAAAAAAAGCCAAGGAGAGAGGTGCTGGCTGATTTGGAGTTTTGGTCATGGGAATCCTGGGGGGCTCAGGAGGTCTCAGGGATGAGGGGGGCAGCATCCCACATCCCAACAAGGGCCTCAGCCAGGAGGTCTGAGCCCAGGAGGGTAAGCTGCCTGAGCTAGAAGCAGAGCCAGCTGGCTGGGAAGCATGTGGGACCCTGCTTGCAAGAGACCTAGTGATCATAGAGAAGGGCCCTGTGCCAGGTTATAACATTGTCTTCTCCAAGTGAACAACTTACTGGGGATTATAGCAGTTGGCTGTGAACATCAGCATCCCTTCAAGCACTGCACTTGGAGTGTTTTTATTGCAGGCTGTGGCCACAGAGGCATACACATTCGTCCTATAACGTGTGGTAAAGGTGTGATGAGCCCTAAAGAACCACTGCCCTCTCTGAAGCCATGAGGGAGCAGCATCTCCGGTGGAGTGAGTCCCTGTCCCTGGAGAGCAGGGCCGACACTGGTCACACAGACACCAGCAATAACATTCTAGTAGCCCATTTAGATGACGCAGGCTGGGCCCTGCTACCAACCTAGAGCCCAAGGAAACACAGGAGTGTTGTCCTCATCTGAATCCCAGTTCTAGTCACATGAACTCTTGTGACCCTCCAGACACTGACAGGTCTTGGAAGTGCCACAGGGGTCCCCCATCCAGCCGGCTGCCGTCCAGCCTGAGCTATCAGAAGGTGTTACCTCCACTGGGAGCCTTCGCGTCTCCATGCCGGTGTCCAGGGGGCAGCAGCTGCATCTGCCCCTTCTTGGGACCCCCAGCACGGATTGCTCCTGCTCAGGCCCAGCTGCTCCCCTTGGTTCGTCCAGGCGATTGCCTCAGTCTCTGGAGTCCAGACAGAGAGCGATCAA